ATTTCTGTATAACACCAGATCTTGTAGTAGTTCTGTGTTATTGTGACAAGTTTTGAGGAAAGACAAGTTCCCGATTCTTCTTTGTTCATTTTACTGTAATCTTTATCCTAAATCATTCCCTCCATCCAGAGTTGCTCTGATGATCAGAATGGCACCTGCTGGTTTGCTTTAAGCTCCTTACCTCTTCTTGTCCCCAGGCAGAACATGAGATAGTCTTTCTTTTGCGTCATGCTTTCCGCACATTTTTGCTTTTTCAAAGACAAGTCCCCAAGAGTTCATAAGTGCAGATAAATTACCTCTATAAATACCTATAAGTAAGCGTTCCATCCAGATATGCAAACTTTCTTAGTCTTATTGCATTGCCCTATGCCCTGGGTATTCTTCTACATAAAAGCAAAACCAAATGCAAAGAGGGTGAAATATCATCCGGATGTATTTGTTCTTTGCAGAAGCGAAAAGGTAGCAAGTAAAATTAGATCACTGAAGTCATCCAGGTAGCCTTTTTACAATCTGAATTGTAAATACATTATTCATCCTTGATTTTTTCTTTTTCCGAATTTTATTTTTGAAATGTGTTATTTTGCCAAAGTTACAGATTAAAGGCGTTCACAGCATATGAAAAGAAGACTCAATATGTTTAGCAAAGCAAGTGGTCTGTTTAGAAAGGTTGACCTCTGATACCGTTGGAAGTCTAGTAAGTCAGTCTTTCATGTTGTTCAGCACAGTGGGGCCTTGCAGTGGTCTCTGTTTCTCATTTTAGCTGAAGAAGGTATTCAACTATTGAATACAATTAAAAAAAGATACTACCTTTTCTTAAACTGCATTAAAATATTGGCTTAAGCAAATTAGTTTTGTCATCGCATTAATTTCAGTGATTTAAAAGCACCGATATTAATATATGCAAGACTGAAGCTCAGTATTAGCTTAGTATTAATAGTAATTTAATGTGGGTAATGTTATTACCAAGATTTCCTTTGTTTGGCAAGCCCTGTAATGAGAAACTAGAAATTGGTAAGCTGTGAATGCAGTTTCATCTTCATGTTTAAACGATGTTCTTTATATACGCTTTCATGTCTCTAACCCTGTTTTCAAATGGTATTTCATTTTCTGCCTTTTCTTTCTAGTCTTCCATATATAAATATACTAATAGTTACTGAGAATTAAGTTAACTGTCTCAGTACAATATTTACTATGTAGGGTGTGATTTTTGGAATTTTATTAGTATGTGTATAAAGATGTGATTTTTGTCATTTACACATAGCTCTGTATTAGGCAATTCATGAAGTGATTGAAAGAGGGCTCAGGGACCTCTTGGAACACTGTGCAGATGAAGTATATGTATTCTCTACTGCCATGATACAGTCATGTCTTCACTCTATTAGTGAAAAATATGAAGTATGGAAGTGTGAAGACCATCTTTCTGCACCCTTTAGTATGTTGTGCAGCCTGAGAGCAGTCTCTTACAGAATAATCAATTGTGAGCAACACAAGGAAGAAGTATTTTCTTGGAGTTTCAGAAAATACTGCAACTCAAATATGGCTCAGAGTTTTGTTTCTAAAATTAAGCTCTTTTGTTATTATTTAAAATCTGTTTTCTCAAACATCTGCTCTAGAAGCTTAAAGGAAAAACCGACAACACTCTCTTACCTGTAGGTACAGTCTTCCATTCATTGTCTCATAAGTAATAGGAAAGGAAATAATTAATACTCAAGAAAACAGAGAAGACCAATTTCACCATGGCTTGGACTATACTGTTCAAGATATAGCTTAACACCCCACCCCCGCGAGTCTCAGAAGTTGTGTGTGGTAGAATTTCTGACTGGCTTTTTTCCATAACCTTGCCAAGAGTCAACCTGCAGTTTCAGGAAAGCTTCAATTATGGTACGCCCGTTTCAGCCTCAAAAATTGAAACTCTGTAATGTAAATTCATCTTATGATTTCTAATCACTTTATACATCTCATTCCCAGAAGCCTAGTAACTACTAAATTCAAGTGCTTGCCTAATGCAAAACACTTGCCAAATTTGAAAAAAAAATTATTCTAGGCTGCGTAATAAATCAGAATTATTGAGCTCTGTCCAACTTTCTTTAAGAAGTAATTTTGCCTAAAAGTTCTTGCAAAGCAATTGAGAGTGTATCAATAAATTACTTATCAGCCAGTAGAAATTCAATACAAAACCCAAATGCCTGTGTGGTTGGTTTTTTTTATTTTTGAGAAATTACTTTGTGTTACTTTGATATTGAAGAAATAAATAGATGTGTCTCCATAAATTAATGTGTTTCCAAAATTATACAGAAGCATGAAAAGAGATTAGTTTTTACAAAATGCTGTCAGTTCTTTTATATATGTATACGCACTTTTATATATTTTTATATATGTATAGATATATATATATATATAAATAAAAGCAGTTATGTCAGTGAACAAAGTAAGAGAGACTAAGCCTTTAACACAAACAACCTGATATACAAAGAAAAAAACACCAAAACCACAAACCAAAAAAAACTTATTGCTATTTTCAGTATTTTGTCATTGGTATGTATATTCGGAAAAAAAATGTGTGTGCCCGTACTTGATTCTTGTTCATTAATACAGTTTTGCTTTTAAATGTTTTTCTCTTTTTTCCATTGTATTTTAAACAAGCTTTTGCTAAAATGGAACAGTGAAATGTTTCTACTTAATAGATGTTATAATTCAACAGTCACCTTAAATGATTATCGTCACTCCTTTTTCATCGCAGCCATACATTTCTGTGCTTTAGGAAGACTGGTATGAATTGAAAATTGAGATGTTTCCAGTTTCTTAAATTGCTTGTGGTATCACTGATTAGGTCATTATCAGTGTTGAAGTGTTCTACATATTTTCTTATAAATCCGGTAGTTAGATTTAGTAACACCTATGAAGAACAAACTCTTTTCCCTTTTATTAATTATCCTAGCATACCAAAACAATATACAATACAGTATGCCCTAGTTAGCAGTGGTGTTGATCACACTAACTATCAGATATCTGAAATATTTTAGTGAAAATGTACTTTGAGTTTTGCTGGAGAATAGTAACGATTTTTTATTTTTTTTTTTAGTTCGGGATGAGAGTTTAATGTATAAATATAATAAAGAAAACCTACTGGGATAAGTTACAGTCCTCCATTCTGTTTGGTTGGGGGTTTTTCGGTTTTGTTTTTTTTCCCCCTGTTAGTTTAAGCTTAAATGATGAAAATCAGTTCATTGCAATTTCAGAGACATACTGCATCATCCCACTAAAATCAGAAGTATAATTCTATAATTGAATAGGGTTACCCTGTACTATCACAGAATCTGAGATTTCTTCTTCTAAATAGTTCTAGCCCCTCTCAAATGAATTCATGTTCTGTACAGAAAGACATGGGACAATCCTTTATAATTGTCTTCATTTTCACAATGTACAGCATCTGCTGACCAATAACATTTGGCAAGCTATGTGTTTTTTATAGTGCCCTATACATGGTAGGGTTTTTCACTTAAGTCTTTTGAAAGAGTCCCAGTTGATGCTTAAGTTGTATATGTCTTATTTTTGTTTTTTATTGTTTTATAACATGAGTTACAAGTTGGAAACACAAAATGAGGATGTGTTTCTTAAGATATTTTTTTCCTGTTTTGGCTGCTTGTTTATGTACAACTATGAAAAAATGGATCTTCATATTGCTTAACATACAGCTAAAATATTTGTGTGTGCATATGTACAAGCCCGTATTTTGCTAATACACAACTTTATGCATTCACAGTGTCCCAGCTTTCTCATATGCATTAAGAGTTTTAGTGCAAAAGTATGTATACCTATTTTGTGAGGGACTGTCAATGATTGTAAGTAACAGAACTGCTGAAGGTGTGAAATTTCGCTTCATTTATTTCTAAATAGTTTGGGTTAGTAATTATATGACCATATGATAAATCACATTGTACAGCATTTTAACATCTTATTTCTTAAAGTAAAATTAGTGTAATTTTGGATATTTTATAATATTTTTATATTACAAAGATGTCAAAAAACATGCTTTGAATAATTATTGTATGTTATGTTTTGAAAATTGGAATTTTACATTTTCACTACATTTATAAAAAGAAGAGTTATTCTGTCAGGCTCTAATACTTTAAAAAGAGAAATGTATATATCAAAATTTTAAACAGAGCAGTGCTTTTTTGATATGTTCAAGAATTAATGTTAAGCATATGTATATTATTTAGAAAACGTGATCAATAAATATGACTCTTAATTCTTTTTTGTGTTTATTTTGAACGCAGGCCTGATGATAAGTTATTAACCTTTTCTCAACTAAATGAATGTTTTAACGATAATCATAAATATATTGTAGTAATATGTTCTGAAGGTATTAGTTGCATGTTCATCCATCATGAGATTGATGTTTACATTTTTTCACCTGCCTCTTGATTAAAAACTATCGATGAATATTTTAGCCGTTAGTATGTTGTTAAAAACTCAGTAGCTTCAGTGTAATTGTTGTAAGATGCGGAACACAGTTTGCTGGCTCTAGTCCGTGCTGTAGAATGGTGCATTATAAGGTGCCAAAGTAAATGTCTCTAACTTCTTTCAGACGTTGGCCCTGTTTGTTTGTAGACTGATAACTGTTTCTAGTGTGCTCATTGAACTTGCTGGAATTTTTCTTTACTATAGTCTTCATTTTCCCCAAGAGGAGGAGAGAGGAAAGAATATATTCCTCATGTGGTCAGCATATTTTTGAGTATTTATGTGAGTTCACCATCTTGATTTCAAGCCATGAATTTGTTTTTACATGCATAAGCATGCATATTTACATGCATTATTTAGCCAATTGACTTTAAATTCCATTAAGTTCCAATGAGTAGGAGAAAGATTTTGTCTTAGGCATTTTTTATTTATTTTAATTTTCTAGTTATGTTACTTTTGTTGGTTTATTTATTTTTTTAACTGTTCAGTCTAAGGCTTGTAAAGGTTGATTTGCTCCTGAACTGCTTTGTTCCCAGACATTGCCATCTTCCCCAACTACCACCAAGTCCTCTCCATCTGATCCCATGACCACCTCCAGAGCCAATCAGGTACAGTATCATCCTACCATCTACACCATACTTTTCACGGGTGACAGCTTGCAAACTGGAGAAAAAGATATGGTGGGTTAAGGATTTATTCGTTCATTCACATATATACACCCATAACCATAGATATCTAACTCTTGTTAGAAATTGGTAAATTGAATGGAAAACATTTTTCTTCTTTTAATTTGTTTTGTTGTCTTTTTAAAATCTCCGATGAAAGCAAAGTATCTTGTAAAATAGTCTTTTTTAATTTGTTTTGATTAATAAATAGCAAGGATACACGCTGGTGAGTTTGTAGACAGAGTAACTCTTGGATTATGTATGTTCATGTATATATGCACACACGTATATACTTCCTGGATCGTTTCTAAATTATGATGGAATTACCCCTAAAACCATGCTTAATTAGCTGGATATCGGCCTAGGAATGGCAAACAGACTTCTTTGTTTATTTACATTAAGAATTTTGAAATGTGTTTGTGGACAGTGACATAGGGACGTTATCTAAATAATGGATGTAATTACAAAAATAGATTTGAAATGAAAATTTATTGATGAAGAATAAGGTAAAATTAAGTGTCTCTAAAAACATACTAAACACGTCTAAGTAATTTTAAATCATGTCTTATTTTTAAATACATAAACTGTGCTTTTAGCAGTATTTTAATTACAATCATTTATTTGTCTTTTAACTGGAAAAAAATATGTCCAGTTCATTATGTCCACAAATCATCATACTGTGTATCTTTTTGCCTTCCCTATGAAAATTTTTAAAGTTGCTTCATACCGTGCTTTTTAGAACTGATTTATGCTTAATAATACCTTACTCATTTTTTTAATGTAGTGTTAAACTTAATCTACTTTGTGTTCAAATAATGTAAGTATTCAATATGTGCGAACAGTTTTTAACACACAATCTGTTTATTTAAGTTAGCTGAATGCTTCTATCAGATCTTGCACAAATTAGATCAAATACCAGAAAAGTTTTCTTCACAACAAGCCAATTTCCCCTGGAAGTTAATGTTGTTATTAATTACTGATCCTCCGATATTTTGTGAACTGCTTAGACCTTGCTGGCTGTATGAACAAACTATTTAACATACAACAGAACATGAGCATATTAAAGCAATATATCTTTGATCAACACATGACTATCTGTTGAAAGGGACATCTAATGCAGAAAGTAATGAAATTTAGAGAGAAGTCACACAGATAGAAGAGCTACTAAGAAAAATATAAACTGCGATATCCCTCACTTCAATTTGAAAGCCTTCTTCATCAGACTGCTTCCATTCCAGCAACAGTTATTTGGCTTCATCATCATTAAATGACAAAGATAAAATCTTTGCCAAGAGCTAGGGATATTTTATGAACACTCTGTTTAGCCTTTATTCTCTCTCTCTTAATTTTAGTATTTTGTGTATTTTAATTAGAGGGTTTTGAAAATGTTGAGCACAGATCTTTTTACAAAGTGTTCTTACTATTTTTCTTTTCTGTGTCTTCTTTCTTTCTTTTTTTTATTTTTTAAATTATGAGTATATCCTGATGATCATTATTTGGAGAAAAAGGAAGAGGTGCTTTCATTTACAGGAAATACTGTTGCAGCATGCTGTTTAATTAGCATCAGAGAAGTACCTGCTTTGCATCTGTTCTATGAATTTTGAGTTATCAAAATTACAGTGTAGTCTATAAACTTTAGATGACTTTTCAATAGCTAAAAATACATTTATAGAAACTTGTTCTATGAGAATGTTGTCAAATGATATAGCTGAATATACAAACTAAGGGAAATGTATGCTTTGTGTCCTGCTTATATCCCACATTATATCTTCTAATGCTTTTTATTCATAAACTGTGTTCAATTCCGTTTTCATACAAATAATTAAGATCTCTTTTGAACAGCATTAAAATGGTATATATGAAGAAGAGTAAAGAGTTCCTTAAGTGACGTTTGGAACTGTTTTTATCATTACCCCTGGAAATTCCTACTGGTTTGTAATTATTTTATCCCTCCCAGCATTTCCTAGTGGTTTCTAGCCATTCCAGCAGGAAGCACAAAGCACATGATAAGACAATTACGGCCTTTCTGTTCATTCTAGTGATAAGTGACGTAGCTGGCAATTGTTCCCAGACTGAGTAGTGATTAGCATTCAGCACCAGTGTATCGACAAGTATCTGCACTGCGGCTGTCACACGAAAACTGGTTCCAACACAGTAATCTCAAACCTGTCAGTAGTCATGTGAGTACCCAATAGGAGAGTATTAGAGAACAACAAATATTTTGATATATAGCTGTGTAAGATGATTCTCAATAGAAAATAACCATTCAGGTATGGTTATTTTAATATAACAAGATGTTATATTAGGATAACAGGAAAGAGCTTATTTAGCTGGATGGAAGTCAGGAAATTTAGTCTTAAGGTGTAAGATAAATTCACGGCTCACCCTGTTGTGTGGATATAGTAGCATATCAGGCTTAAGATCAATTTTCTATAATATTTTAACTGGGACAAGATGATAGTTTATCTGAAAGATTAGTGAGGTGATTAAGTAAGGTTTAAGCAATACTTAATGCTGAGTTGCTGTTGGAGTGAGATTTTTCAGCTGGGTTGGAGGACTCCCCATAAGTCATTGCAATTAGAAAACTGTCGAGTATGTGTGTATGTGATGGCCATACCTGATGTGATCCTTCCCACTGTATGAGCATGTCAGTTGTATTCTCCTGACAGAGCTTGCATAGCAGGCAGAACAACTTCGAGGCACGCTTTTTACCGCAAGAGGAAAATCGCTCTGCCAACAGAGGTCAGAGGAAGCTGAGCAGGAAATCTGGCTTGTATTATGTCTTCCTTTTAATGACTCACTTTGCCTCCATGCAGATGAGATCATAACTCCTTTGTATGGCAGTTTTGCCTTTTGTTGAATTGTTGGTTTTTTTGAAAAATCCAGTCTTCCTGAAACTACTCATTTCATGATTCTCAAGAAGAGGATAATCTCTAAAATATCCTATACAGTGGAAGAAAGCAGTTCCTTCAGAACTGTCATATGTTGTGTTATACTGAATTGCCACGGACGCAACAGAAACCTCTGCGTTGGAAGTGTTTTTTTCTTTAGTTCTTTGTTCCAGGAAGATATACATCTGTCAGTGTTATTGTTGTAAATGTCTTGTTTATTTTTTTAATAGAACTTCCTTGGGCCTTTGTTCACATTAAAAATTCATACACTGCAAACTTCCCAAGGAAGACAGTACCAAAGAGGCAATAGAATTAGGGACATTTCAAATAACTTCCGGGGTTTTTTTCCCCCTTCCTGTCTGCCTTTCACTGAAAAGAACTCAATCTTTCTGTACTTTTAGACTGAGAGCTTCTGTGTTACCCCCTCACGAGCTTTGTCAGCTTTGTTTATAACAGAACACTGACAGACATATAGCTACAGTGGTGGAACTGTTCTGCTGACGCCCTTGGAGCTGGCAGAATATAGCTTTACTTTTATTTACCAGAAGGAGGGAATCAATTTTACTTTTCCACAGTACACTTCAAGTGGGTATTTCATCTCAAAAGTGATGAATAACACCATAAACATCATATAAAACACGCTTGCTTTTCCTCTCTAGTACCTTATAAAGGTGCAAGTTTTAGTACTTATTTTTACAGTTGGGACGTTAGATAGACAAGTATTTCCATAATTAAACTGTTTACATATTTTCTTTTGTTTACAAGATTAGTTTTTTTCTTTTTATCTGCCTATTTTGCTGATGTTACTACTATTTTAGAGGGAGAAACTTGAGTGATATAAACCTAAGTTTTGTATTTCTCCTTTGTCTATTTGATGTACATATATAAAAGCACTTGCAAACCCTTGCATGTTTCCTTCTCCAATCCTCTCTTTTTCCATAAGATTGATACAGCTGCTGACCTTTACTACTGTCTGTAAGAGAACAAAAGACCAAACACACATTCCCACTTACAAGTGAGTCAGAAGAGTGAAGGGTAGGAGTCCTTTTCCCTTCCCTTATAGTTTAGATAGGCTTAAGCTCAGTAATGTAGTAGGATTTGTCATCACAAACTTTATGTCATTATCTAACTTCTTTTATTTATTTTTTTTAATGCACTATTTTTTCCCATGGCATTTGCATTTTTACAGTTATATCTTCTATTTTTCTTCTTTGTTGTTGTTGCACCTAAAACTCTTATCATTTAATATAGTGTAATATAAATTTTGTGGAGTGCAGGTAGGTGTAGGATTATTCCATTCAGTCCTCAAATTTACAGTTTTTTTGAGAATATCTACATCATCTGGTTGCTGCAATATCTGTAATAAATAATACTTCTCAACCTTTTTGCATAATGGGACTGAACCAGTTTTTGTACTGCCTGAACCCAGCAGGTACAGCACAAGCATGTGGCTGTTACAATCTTGGTAGCAGGAATTTGTACTTTTGGCTTATATTATCTCTTTATTTTATGCAAAATCCATAGCTTGCAATGGGATTTAATAGTGCACCTATAACTAGAGATCGGGGGACTGATAGATATCTCTAAATGGTACTGATTGATGTAGGTGGTCCCCTCTTTCTGACTTTAAAGAATAGTCCTGTCCCTATCTGTAAAATTAATTGCAGAAGTATAATCTTTTCATTCCTGATAGGGGGGTAGAATCCAAAAATAGAGGCTGTCTGTAGAGCATACTGACAGCTTTTAAAGGGTTGATGAACTCATATCACTTATATTTCATATATAATTTGTTGTGGGAGATGAAAGAAGAAATAGGAAATAAAGAATTGTTATAGTCTTCTGTTATCATTAGGACAAGGAATTTTAAAATATGTATAATATCCAACTTCAAATGATAAAGTTTTTATCAGCAGATTAATCTTAAAGTACAAACAATGAGTTTTAATGATGATCCCAGGATACTAGATAGCCATTGTAGGCCATGGAGATACTGTCTCTTTTTGGCTTTGACAATTGGATGTGAGGGTTATTTAACCTTATTTAAAATATCTC